AAGGGATAGAAATAGGCAGAAGTTTAGGAGAGAGAATGCAGAAACAGGAAAATACATTAGAATAAAATGAAATTAGAAGCAGGCAGAGGTTATAAAAAAAATATAATACATATAAAATTACACACCTGAATGTGAACATCAAGGACCGCATTGTCTGCCGGTATAACTCTATTGATTTCAAAGGACTGAAGTCAAAAGAGAATTTGCCCCCAAGTCGTGCTACTTGTAGGTGGGATAAGTGCACAATATTATCGCTGTTGGCTTCGTTCTCCTTACTGCTTCACTTTTACTGTTTGTTAAACTCACACGTGATATTGTGTCTTAGGGTAGACTATAAACTCTTTGGGGGCAAGGGACATCCTGGGCTTGCGTCACCAGTCTACTACTCCACTGAAACTAGAACAATGCAGTGGTGAACCCATTCTCTTATGGGTTTGTGCAACACCTAGCACAATGCAGCCCCAATCCTGAGTGGAATTCATGTGATGATGGAAGACTCTTGACTTTCATTATGTAAAAAAAGTAAGTTGTAGGACAAAGCTTGAAAAAAGTGACCAGAGGGCACCCTAAAGGCTCAGCAAAGAGAAGACGAATAGAAGGAACATAGTTTATTGGTTTTAAAATTGCATATTTTTAAGCCACTCGAGAATTTTTGAGGCAAGCCTCAAAGGCTATGGGAATTTCTGAGTTTTGAATTTTTGGGGTTGTGAATACTAGTATGCTCAATTCTTTTGCTCAAGGAGAATAAATCAGCTACTGTACTATGGCTTTACCTAGAACAGTGGATCTTGAACATGTTTTTTTTTTCCACAACACATTTTTTCCCCGCCATGCAAATAAAAAGAATCAGAAACACTTGAAAAAGCAATCAGGCTGCTTGCTCCTTTCTCAGAGGTGTTTGTGTTAGTCTTTTTTTTTTTTTATTTTTTTTTAAATAAAATTCTTGTTAAGTACCAGTACGATCTCATAAATTCTAATTGAGATACACATGTGAAACATATATAAAGACATTACATGTTTTAAAAAATATTTTCCATGTAAAGGGTTCAACAGTGTGAAGTTATTATTCAAAAGCTAAGGTAAGTCTTAGCAGAAGACTGAACAAAACACCAATGGCAGATCATTATCTTAGCAGAGCAGTTGCTCTTTGTGTGAGAGGTGAGTTTCTAAGGGTCAGTAGCAAGAACACATGTAGCAACTTAAGGTTGCTTTCAGCTGTATAGCAAGTAGAGCAGATTGA